AAATGATATAGATTAAGAATACTTTAAACTTTATGAAAAGTATATAAACTGTTATACTTCAAAGGGCAGACAGATGGTAGATGATTGATAGATGAAAGAGAAAGAGAGAGAGAGAGAGATATGAATGGCACCATATGCTCTAGTATAATTTTCATCTGATGTTTGTTTCATACAATCAATAAAAATAGAATTGAAATAAAAAAGTAAGTAGTGCATTAACACCAAAGAATTTTGCCAGATTAAAACTGTAATTATAGGTGAAAATCTACCATTTCATTAACGGTATGTTACAACTACTGGTAAACACCTTTGAAAAAATAATTCTGTCATTTATTGAGTATGGCTTATGTTTTCATAACTTTAGATACTATATAATTCTCAAGTCAAAGCTGTGCTTCATGTTTTCCTGATGAAAACAAACTGATGCTCAATTTGCTGCACTGTCTGAAGTCAAACACCTTGTAAACAAAATAACGAAAACCCATCTCCAAAGATGTATCCAAGGCTCAGTTATTATTTGTCTTTCCCATGGCTGCTCAAGTTGGTTCATTTCCATGTGTTTTAACACCCTTATTTGTAATTGCCTAATTTCTAATTGCCTGTTTTTATTCCATGTGGTTGAAGTTCTTCTTCCTCCAAATAGGGATACATTTTAAACACAAGCTGAAGAGTTGTGCAAATTCTCAAGGTTATGACATTGACAATCCAGTGTAGTTTCTTTCACTCCATTTCATCTTGATTTTTAATATAGATACAGCTGTGATTCTTTAAATTTATTTTAAATTGGTTTAGCATCTCATAGGATGAAAAATTCAGCAATAGCAGGAGTTGTAAAAGTGTAAATGGAGATATTAACAGTGATTTATTTGTGATCATTTATTAAATATATGGAGATAAATGTTATAGTTTGTGAAATTTGAAGAAATATAATTTAAACCTAATAAAATCAAATACATCTAGTTGATTTCAAATTACTGAATAAGACAAAGGAATGAAATAAGCAAACCAAAAAGAAATGCTGTAAGGTGAAAATATTCCTTCTTTTTAGTTCTTAGCTTTTCTTAGGCAACATATTCTTTTTAATCATGATTTTAAACCATCTTTCATAAACTTATAAATAAATGAATTATTTTCAAATATAATCGCATCTAAAAGCTTTAATTTAAAAGGCAATTCATAAAGAAACATCACATAATTTAAAAGAATAAAGTGTAAAACTCATAACATTGTTTATAGACTAAATGAATCCTCTACACTTTCAATTATGAACTAGAATATTAATGATGCACGTGAGTCTGGTGACTTCCGCAGTCCTCAGATGTTTGGTGAGGATAGAAAGAAATGGGCATTAGGCTACCATTAAAATTCAATACTACTATTTTTTTCTTTTAAAATAGATAATATGAACTTCCTAGCTTAAAAAAGAAAACTTTTTAAAAAATACTTTTGTGTGATTTATTTTAAAATGTTCTCTTTCAACCTTTAAGTGAAAAAAGAGGGATTGGTTTTTGTTCACATCTTTCTGGGTGTGTACTCATGAGTCTTCTTGGAGGTTGGTTATGTGCTTAAGGGAAAAGTAAATGATTTGAGCACTTTCAGTATCCATGGTGTAAAGTTTACAAAAACATGTTAAGAAACCTGAAAAAAAGTGAAATTACCAGAAAGAGTAAACCATTCATTTTAGCTTAGTGGCAAAGGACATTAACAGATAATTCTCAAAAGCAGACATGCATGTGGCTAACAAGCGTATGAAAAAATGTTCAACGTCGCTAATCATTAGAGAAATCCAAATCAAAACCACAATGAAACACCTTCTCACACCAGTCAGAATGACTGTCATTAAAAAGTCAAAAATAACAGATGCAGGCAAGTTTGCAGACAAATGGTATGCTTGCATACTGCTGGTGGGAATATAAATTAGTTCAGTCACTGTGGAAAGCAGCCTGGAGATTTATGAAAGAAATTAAAACAGAGCTACTGTTTGACCCTGCCATCCCATCACTGAGTATATACCCAAAATAATATAAATTGTTCTACCATAAAGACACATGCACGCATATATTCATCGCAGCACTATTCACAATATCAAAGACATGGAATCAAACTAGATACCTATCAGTGGTGGACTGGATGAAGAAAATGTGGTATATATGCATTAGAAATACTATGCAGCCATAAAAAAGACAGAGATCATGGCCTTTGCAGCAACACAGATGCAGCTTGAGGTCATTATTCTAAGCAAATTAATGCAGGAATAGAAAACCAAATATCGCATATTCACACTTATAAGTGAGGGCTAAATATTGAGTACACATGGACACAAGGATGGGAACAATAGATACTGGGGCCTAGTTGAGGATGGGAGGGTTACAGGAGGGTGAGGATCAAAATACTACCTATCACATACTATGCTCACTACTTGGGAGACAAAATAATTTGTATACCAAATCCCAGCAACATTCAATTTACCAATATAACAAACTTCTACATGTACTCCCGAACCAAAAATAAAAGTTGAAAGGAAAAAAAATGCAATAAACCAAATCCCACTTAAGATTCGTGTGAACCAATATAAAAGAATGTTGTCAACTTCATTTGAAATAAAATATTTTTTCTCTTATAATAGTCTATAATTGCGTGTATGTAAATGTGTGTGTGGTTTGTAATTATATAGATATTTAGTCCTTTGAAGCAGAATACTACATATATGTGTGTGTGTATGTGTGTGTGTGTAGGTTTAAAATTATATAGATAGATATTTAGTCCTTTGGAACAGAATTTTATATATATGTATATATATATATATATATATATATAGTCCTTTGAAACAAAATACCATAGATTTTTTTTCAAAAGACCGAAAGACCACATGTAATATTTTCCCACAAAGAGCATTAGTACTTTTCAATAAAGATTAAGCACACAAACTGTTTGTTCATGGTGAGAGGAAATGTATACATTTGATTGTTAGTGATTTTAGATGCCAGTAGTTGTCATAAATTTAGGTCCTGACATAGCATCATACATATAGCATATATTCAATAAATATTTGTTGAAGAATAAAGCATAATTGAATATTAGATTTTTGTGTTACAAATGGACCTTTTAAAAGAAGTCAATATATCTCCCTCCTTTCCCATTGAAGCGATTCGTTTATACAGTCAGAACTTAATAGTATTACAGATATTGTGTTAGTATGCAGTGATTACATTTTATTTAAACTGCTATTTGTGAAAAACCTTACAGAGCATCACAAATTAAAGCAAAGTAGAACTTTAGACAGCTTTCATTTTACATAATATTATAAAGCACTTCTAACTTTTTCTTCATTTTCATTATGTCTTTTTGCCCATTTTTATATAATTTTTTACAAGAAAGACCTTCAAACTCTTCTCACAGATTTAGCTTAAATAAAGTTCAATCATACCAAAACATACCTAGCTATTTCCGAGAAATTCTTATTGCTACTACCATCAAACTTATTTAGTCATCAATCTTGTACATTGTATAATATAGTTGACATCATTATTTAAAAAATGGAAAATTATCAGACATCAGAATATTTTTCTGAAACAAAAGAAAGACCATTATAACTGTCAAATCAAAGCTAGCAAATCAACGTAATATCAAGAATTAATTAAAATTTCAAGAAAAACAGTCTAATTGAACAACCTTTAATAACTATGAATAATAATGATAAACATAACCTTCATACAACTGAATTAAATATAATAATATAAAGTCCTCATGAATTTCAAGTTAAATTGTTAAATTTCACAGATATTAGTAGAGCCAAGGTGACATTAAACATATATAAGAAATTATAAAAAGACAGACTTAAATACGACAAATTCTCTCTGAGCACTGCTTATGTAGAAATTAAATTTAAACCTTTTTTTTTTTTTTTTTTTTTTGAGACGGAGTCTCACTCTGTCACCCAGGCTGGAGTGAGTGGCATGATCTCAGCTCACTGCAAGCTCCACCCCCCGGGTTCCCGCCATTCTCCTGCCTCAGCCTCCCGAGTAGCTGGGACCACAGGCGCCACCACCCCCGACTAATTTTTGTATTTTTAGTAGAGGCAGGGTTTCACCATGCTGGTCAGGCTGGTGTCAATCTCCTGACATCGTGATCCACCCGCCTCGGCCTCCCAAAGTCCTGGGATTACAGGCGTGAACCACCGCGCCCGGCCTTAAACCATGTTTTTCTATAATGGCTTCAATTTTTTTTTTTTTTTTTAGTTTCGTCATCAACTACTAACCACTTAATGACTGCTCAGGAATACTTTTTATATTTCTCAACCTTAACATAGTTATTTCTTCTGCCTTTAAGGATACTCCCACCTTTATAAGGTTGCTTTCTTTGAAACAAAAATTCTTATATGTATAACGATACCAGAAATTACTCATGGAGCCATCTAGGACAACAGACATTAACTTTTAGAACACTCTATTAGTAGAATAAGTAGCTTCACTCAGCAAATCACTTTAGGATAACATGTATTTTGAATATGTACTTGCAAGTTCTATGTGGAGAATAATTTATACTGACGCCATGGACTATGTCAATTTTAGAACAATTTCAACACTATAGGTATTTGTACATAGTTGCAGAGGAGTAGCAAATTATTAACATTAAACTGGAATTTTAAAAAAAGCAAAAGCTACCTCTGCACACATGAACATCTTGTGTATTTGTTTACCTCCCAAGACAGGCAAAAACTGTGTGTCATGCTAACATTTTAAATTTGACCAACATTTTAAAGCCCCATATATTTTAAATCTATATTCTGCAAGATTTTGATAAGTCTTAAGTAACACTCAAAAAATAAAATGTACCATAATTTCTCATATTCTATTCCAATAACCCTAATTGATAGTAATTTAGGTGACTTAATTCTCATAATTAAGTAAAATTGAATCTCAATGTTTTTAACCTTTCTACAAACTTCTACAAAGCTCGTTAATGTGCTTTCCAGGCTATAACAAAGAAGCATACTGTACCTCTGACGCTGCTGGTTGTTGCAGATGTGGTTGGGCTGGTTGTTATGGCTACAGTGGTTGTGACTGTTGCAGTGGTAAGGGAGGGGATGATAGTAGTGGGAAGCAAAGTGTTGGGAACATCTGGTGAGTGGAAAAAAAAATATAAACAAAATCATATCATGCAAACAAAAGAGAAACACAAATGATTCAAATTATAAATACATATAACTTATCGAGGTTTAACTTTAACAAGCTTTAACAGAACATCAGGTACAAAACCGACTGTGTCACACAATTCTTGTCATTTTTTTTCACTTTTTTTCGTGCTCCAACACAAAGCAAAAGCTTGGAGCAATGTTTGAGAATAAGCAGGTTGTTTGCAATATTGAGAGTAAAATGTAAAATGACAAGAATTCATTTGTTCACTGAGTCATTTAAAAAGTTTGACATGCAATAGCAAAAAACATGTAGGTAAAAAAAAAATGACATGCTTTGTCAAAGAAGTAAACAGAACGACACATACAGAAATAAACACATATACCACCATATAAGATTAACAAAATGTTAACAATGAATGTGTAAATGCATGTTAAATGCTTTTTGATTTTTTTTCTTTTAGGAAGACTTAATGATAGGAAATGAGAGCAATCTTTAGAAACAAACAAACAAAAGAAGCCAATTGTTATTATTATTGTTATTTTGCTTCTCCTGTTCTCACAAATGATGTTAATGCACAGTTTAGAATCTTGCAATTCTTACCCTGTTTAGCTGGTAACGCCTTCTAATAATTTTGCAGTACCTAGGAGTCTTTGGCAAGTATTGAGTCAACTAGCATGGCACCCAATATTCTGAAAGGTTTACGATTTATTTTAATACGGCATACCTAGGAGAGGTTACTGAGCATACACTGGAAGTGTAACACTGAACCTTTAATCCATAGTTTCTAAGTTGCCAAAAGTTAAGAGTAGCTTCAAATACAGAGAAAATAAAACCCAGAAAGAATAGTGTTTAATGCCCAAATCCTCTTTCCTTTCACTCAAAATTAGCTGAAAATATGAAGAGCAGCGCAGAGAACATTGAAACAATACAGCCAGTGTCAAGCTATGAGAACTTCAGTGATATCCTCAGAGTCAAATCTTGTCTAAAGTGAATACGCGTGTAATCTACACAGTGAGGAAATTAGAAACAGCTTCCAAATTACCAATAATTACTGTGCTGAGGTTTGATTTCCCATGTTTGTCACATAGCTCCCATATATTCCGAGTGTTTGACAGATTATTTTGTATTAAAAAGTTTCCTGTCATTCTCTCAGTTAAAGTCTTTGAGTCACACCAAACATTTTCTAGTACTTTACTGCTGATAAATAGCCCTCCTCACTCTGTAGACTCTACCCGCTGAATTTTCTACACTGGATACACCAGAAAACAGCATGAGATCGCTCTCTTATCTTGAATATTGATGTTTACACCTGTTTTTCGACAGGGAAAATGCTTCCTGGCCAGTCAAATTAAGAAAACAACCTTCTGAAAACTCAGTGGTGCTGCATTAATCACTAGAGACAATGGGTAAAGCCTGGAGTGCGATTTACCATGATCATAAAGTAGAACTGACTTTAATGACATTATAAATGAAGAAAGATGATGTATATGGACAAAGATGCTTATTGTTTACTAATTGTTATAATAACTCCTTATTTCAAGGTAAGAGTTCTTAAACAGTTTAGGCAGACAGGAGGTAAATGAAAACATTTTCTAAATTTAAAAAAAATGTGTAATTTTAACTTTTATACATATCTAAAATAGAAAGTAATACATTCTTTCTTAGCGAAATTATTTGCTTATTAGGATCTCAAAATATATGCATTTAATAACTGCAAAGGCCAATATCTTCCAAGGATAGCAAATTTAAGAACAAACAATACTATTATTCGTTTAAAACTCCATGTAAATGAACTGTTATTTCCAAATTTATCACAGATTATAACACGTTGGTTTATTTCCTATCACATAGTCAGTTCGAATATGATTGCATTGGATCTTATTCTAATAAGAAAAGTAGTCTTTCAAAATCAGCCCTGTCACTGAATTATTAAGAGAAAGAATACAAATAATGGGATTTCATTTTGGTTTTAGTTTAGGCAATAATAATTACTATTGTTGTTGTTATTATAGTACTATTTGGAGTCCCCCCCAACCTTGCCTCGCTTATTCCACATCAAAAAATATAGGTAGTAATAAATCCTGAATTTTTTAAAGACAGTCTATATATTTTCAAGTACTATGAGCATTCTTGTATAAAGCAAACCATATCTTTATTTCTTACAAGTATAAAAATGCAGTAAGCATACATTTTTCCATAGGTTAATACTCAAATAACTTAAAAAGATAAGTAGTTTTAATAATTGTTAATCCACTTCAAACCAACATCCTTAGAATCTTTTGAAATATACAAATAGACAACATTACAAATTATTATTTACACACAGCCTGGTTCTTTTTTATCTCTTCAGCATCCTCTCTTATCCTCCTCTCCGACTTCATATGTAGCTAAAACCAAATTGACTGAAAGTAATTTGGTGGAAAGTGCCAAAATGACAATCGGGTTTAAAAAATGACTTGTCGTGAAGAAACCTATGCCTGTTACTGTTACATGTTTTTAACTACTACTAGCTTCATTTTGTTCTATGTGTTTTAAAACATTTTTGTTTTTCTAATAATTTTGAGGGTTTTATTCTGTTCTTTCATTATTTGTTAAAGACCACCCCATTATTTCAGCTATATCGTGAAATAGTAAAAGTTAAAATAAGCTAAATATTCAGCACCAGAATATTAAGTGGAATAATTGAATAAAATTGAATAATGTAAGATCAATTGAATGAGCTGAAACTCTCTGAAAGACCAGGACAGTTGCATGAAGCGTCTGTCTTCTACCTGCACTTTCTACCTGCTCTGCTTTTCGTGCTCTCAGTGTCCCACTAGACAATCCGTTCTTCAAGCGAAGAGCTCTGCCTAGAATTCTGCACATTTTTAAACCTCTTACACTGTTAATGAAAGAAAACTCCATCAAATACGGTACAGGGTGGAAACTGCAGCCCATTTTATCCCTTGTAAGATGATACCACTTAAAATATTCCCCAATATTGAAAATATACTAATTCATACAAAGAGAATTATATATACATGCACATGCACATCATAAAAATACTAAATACTGGTTCAGCATTAACTTATTAATTATTTCCATAGGACAAGATAATCCACAGTTATACTAATATTTTAAGTAATTTGCTTAATATGACATGGCAGTGTCAGTATATCTTAATATATGCCTTATATATTAACATCCTATGATTAATCAAATGATATTTGAACATAGACACCAAGACAACTATAAATAAAACATGGTCAAATTTGTGGCATGTGATGCATAATTTATGAATATTGGAATTTAGAAATGATAACCATCCAATACACAGCTCAATTCGTATATTTCACCTCTGATTTCAACATTGCAAAATATGAGCTCATTTTTTTTTGTTTTCTTTGGAGAGCATATTAATTTAACCAACTATAAATGCATTTTCCTGAAATAAAAATGTAGTTATAAATGATAGGTTCAGCACTTCGAATTTACAAAAGAAATTAATTGTGTCATATTATATATTTGTAGTTTGTATTTTTAGATGTTAAGGTATAAAGAGTGAAGAGTCAGCAACTGATAAAATATGTAGCTATTAGAAAAGGCATTTGAAAAATGAACTAAGTGAAAGTAACTAAATTTTGTCTACAGCTGATCAGAGAAATTAGTAATTATACATAAATTATTTAGACACAATTTAAATCCAAACAAGATAAATTTCAATGATTCATCAAAATCAGAATTTAAAATACTCTCATTAATATGAAATTTGTTTGCTATCTAATCTAACAATAGTTTTCAGGCTGTTAAAAGTTTTAATCACAATAAATAGGAACGTGTAATGATAATTTCTCTGAAATTATGAAATCGTAATTATGTGTTTTAAATTTATTTAGCCAATTTATTCTCACCACATGCTAAATACCATCTATCACTGTATACTAAAATAAGTAATACTTCCTAAGATAAATTGATGGTTTTAGATAGGATATGAAATGAATTCATACAGATCCAGTGTTCATTATCTAAACTTTAAATATATCTTTATACATACATTTTATATATGTACACATTTTACATAAATCCTGGACCTCTGTGTGTGTGTGTGTGTGTGTGTGTGTGTGTGTGTGTGTTTATAAAGAAGTTTTATTTAAAAGGAAATGTGAGCCTTTTTATTGATAGGAAACTGAGAAAAGTAAAGATTCCAAGATATGAAAATATCTTCTTATAATTTTGCCTACAGATAAAGTTTGAATTATAATAGATTATACTTTTCATTTCACTTGTAACATATATAAAGTACTGTTTTCATGTAAAATATGAAATTTGGGAGTATTTCAATAACAAAGAGAAACCCTAAATCTAGTCAATAGAACAATTTCATATTTGGGCAGACAAAGTCTAACTAGGCTGCAAATTCATGTGAGTGAATGTTGGGGTGCCAATAAATGCAATGTAAATAATCTGAGTACTTCTATAAGAACTTAGTCACATGCAGAAGTATAATTTCAGCTAAAGCAACACATTTGCCAAATCAGGAAACTAAAATCTGTTTACAGGACCATGGCTAAACGTTAATATGATAAATTCATCAGTCCATCATCTCTTCTGCTCCACCTGCGTGACTGATAGGGACTCCAAAACTGTGCCCACCGTTGTGTTGAGGCAGCCATAATGTTAAGGTTTCCTGGTACAACAGGGGTTAGAGTTTCTCATAGGATACATGTCTGGCTTGTTTTCTTAATGTTTCAAGTGCTGAGTTAATGTAGAGAAAGAAGGTTAAGCCTAGCACACAAGAAGACATCTGCCTCTGACACAAGTGCTTTCCCCCATGACAGAGCTAGACATAGCTCTTTCTGTTCTTTGTGCTGTAGGTTCTCAGAGGCACACCCCATTTCACATTTCTTTTCTCTTTCATGTCCATCCTTTAAATCCTGGTTCAAATAAGATCTCATATGGAAAGCATGGCCCAGTTCTACAAAGAGTAATATCTTCCTTCTCTG